CTTTCATATTTTCTCTACGTTTTATGACTCCTACAGTACGAAAAAAAGTCTTTAGTCTATCTGTCTGACGTTTGTGTCGATTTTTGTTAGACAGATAATCTTCGAAATCACTGGACCGGTTCAAATTTTGTATGTATATTAGGAATATCATGTAGATTCTAAAACGCTAATCAAAATTTGTCTAAGCATCCCCCCAACGATTAATTTCTTTTTAGTAAGCGACATTTCAGTTTTTTATAATAACACTCCTATTCTGGTGGTTGATGAATCTGCATTGATTTTTTGCGCAAGGTATCTAAATTTTCTCAAAAAAATTCAATTTTGAATTTTTTCTGCTTTTAGTAAAATGTATTTTATACATATTTTATACGAAATACATTTTCGTGTAGATTTCGGGCTGAAGAAGTCACTTTCGACCTCATTTCTTCGATAATCCCAACCGTTTTTCCAGAATCGCTCGCTGAAATATAGTTATTTTTAAAAATTAAAAAAAAATTTTCACACCAAATATTTCGAAATCCGTTACCATAAAGACGCTATATTTTTGGAATCGACAAGTCAGGGTCTATATCCTTGAATTTTTTCAGAATTTTTAAACGACTTTTTCAAAAATCAAATTTTCTAGTGGTACGTTAGTTTTGTATACTTACAGGGTGCTGAAAAAATGGCGTACTAACTCTATGACAAGTTCTTTAGGACTGTTTATAGAACAGAGAAAAAATAATTTAAAAAATTCTTGGGCCTAAATGTAGAAAATATAGCCCTTCAAAATTTAACTTTTACTTTCAATATTTCACTATATTCTAATTCACCATTTAGTGTTGGATACATGAAATCAATTTCCATTATTCAAAATAATATAGGAGGTATCTTATTTTCATCCACAGTTTTTTTTGGTTTTATAATAAGTAGGTATAACAGAAAACGTAAAATTTGTTTAAGATGAATTGGACAAGTGTGACTAATTTTTAGAGATTTTTAATTTATCGTTCTCTGTAAATCATTATTTTATTTCTGTAAGTGAACATCAAATGGACGTAAGGAATTTTTTAATGATTTTTCTCCAACTTAGGCTGGTGAACTTAATAATGTGCCGTTGAGTTGGTGCCCCATTTTTTCAGTACCTTGTATATTCATGCAAATTTCGACCAATTTTCGAGCACTTCCGAAATTTAACTAAATACATTTTCTTGTAGACTTCGGACCGCAGAAGTCACTTCCAGTATCGTTTTTTCGGCAACTCCAACCGTATTTTCAGAATTGCCCACTCATGTATCACAATTTTTAAAAATTAAAAAAAAATCTAATTTCACTCCGAATATTTCGAAAATATTACTCTTTGACCCTAAACACGCTATATTTTTGGAATAAGTACCTCGAGACCTATAACCCTGAATTTTTTGAGAATTTTTAGCAGACTTTGTCAAAAATGAAAATTTATACTGTTTTATACGATTTTCGAAATTTAACTAAATATATTTCTTGCAGATTTCGGGCTGCAGAAGTCACTTCCCGCCCCATTTCTTCGATAACTCCAACCGTTTTTCCAGAATCGCTCACTGAAATATCGCAATTTTTTTAAATTTCAAAAATTCACAACAGGTGCAGAAGATCTTGAGTCATTTTTGCATGTGGGTAGGGTGTAAGTTCAGTTCGGATTGCAGAGTTTTTGTTCAGATTAAAGAGAGACGGACTTCAACTAGCCTCTGTTTGGATTACAGAATATTCGGATAATCCTGGATTCGATTATAGAGGTTATACTGTATAGTAATCAAGTCTATCGGGTGATTGACTACTTTTATCTTTTCTCGAAATTTCGTGATCCCTAGAGTACGAAAAAATAAGTCTTCCGTTTCCGTCTGTCTGTCATCTGCCTGTCGTCTACTGTCTGCTGTTACTTCCTAATCCACACCTATATTAATTTTAGCTCATATGAGTCATCATAAAAAATACATTCTCAAAGTTAAATTTTATAATTTTTCTAAGCGGTATTTGTTCAGTTCTACTTTAGGGGCAAGAGAAATAATCTTCGACCAATTTTTATTTCTTCTTTTAAAATCGTATGACCCTCCAACTTTCATTAACCAGTTATTTTCTTATTTTACTGTAAATTTTTACAATACTATATTTTGTGAATTTGAGTAACTGTTAGTTTATTAATGCTATGAGATTAACAACAAGTTGTTTAAGTGGTGACCGCAGTTGTTTGATTACCGCTCACTTAATTAGATCAGCTCCGTTTACATCAATAATGACTTAACAAGAGCATGAAGTCCGTTGAGGTGTATATCTATAATACATAGTTGTTTAATGTGTTGTCTCGTAGTAAATACACGAAATTCATTTGCATTCTGAGTCCTTATGCATTAACTAAGTAGGAGTGTGAGTCTTATTTTTATTCATATGTGATCAGAAGTAATAATTTTCATAGTGACCAGTGCAGGGTTAAATATTTTTGTAGACCAAAAAAGAAAAACAATTAAATTCCACCAAAGAATGCAGCGCATTAAGGGTGTTCTACAGTGCAAAACCGTAGCAAGTACAAGATCACGTGACAATCTTTTTTTAGTTTGCGAAATCCAAGCTTATCTTCCCACTGGGATATTAAGTTTTTTTATTCGACATCAAATTTGCTTTTTCAGCCACAACTCTGTTTCTACAGCAATGGAAAGCTAATTTTTTGCATCAAACAACCCTCTACTTTCTCACTGTTGACAGACGTCATGATTTTTGGTGGTCTTTGCGTTTCCACCAGTAAAACACAAAGTTAAGCATTAAAGTTGGTCTTTGTTGCAGACGAATGAGATAATTCAAGATACTTTGTTGTAGACAAAAGCGTCAAAATTTTGCAGCACATCCGCAAAACGGTGCAAGCCGACGCTCATATTTTAACTGGAACGCCTTCCTTTCGGCGATTCCACCCCCGAGAATATAACAAAACACTCGCACACACGACATACAGCCGATTTAAAAGCAAATATCTTAGGAGAAGAGACAAGTGGCAGCTCGACAACAATTTAGCGCGACACAGCCTCTTTTTCGCAATAATCGTTCGGAAATTACCAGCACATTTCTCGAGGCAATTTTAGAGTGTTTGTTTCGGAACTGTTGCGGCTTTGCTCTCCAATCCAGCCTGCACTCGCTGCTGATGGGTCCGAAAGAAATTGCGAATGTGTCAAATGCACTGTGGTGCGGTAGCACACCCAAACCGGCGAAAAAGCATTTAAAGTTTATAATGCGAAGGAAATGGTTCGAAGTTTCCTTCTTATGTTGGATACAGACGCCGGCCTATTGTGTGTCGAACTTGTGTTTTCAAAAATAACTGGCCGTTTATGCGTCGAAGCATCTTGGAAACTTGCACTGTTATCTTTATTGGTATGGAAAGTCTGGCCGCTTCCGACGCTGTGGAAACGCAAACAAAAGAAAATTTGCTTCTTTCGGCTGAATATTTTTATCTCAATTTTTCGGAATTCGCATAACCATCTTCAGAAACTTTTTCCTGGTAATTAGATTTTTTTTAAATGTTTTTTATTTTCATTGATTATATTCATTTTTCACAGTTTTAATAATGGTAGCAAAAAATTCAATTTTCTCATTTTGCATTGCAATATGGTTCAGTTTTATCGGTTTTGTCGACAATATGATTCTGAGAAATAATGTCGTCCTCACTTCACTTTTCAATAGTGTATTTTAACGTAAAAGGTTTTTTATTTTTTTGGTATTTATTATTATTGAATTTGTATCTTTTTTCGTATCGTTTTCACTTTGTATAAATTTTTATTGTCCTTTAATTAATTTTTACAGTGATTGTTCATAATTCAAACACAACGACTTACAGACAACTGATCACTAGCTTTCTGCCATATATTAATGAGTCACACTGAGGTTGGTTACATAAAAAAGATCACGCATGAATTTTTTATTTTGTTATTGTTGGCAACTGTAAATTCCCAAACAATTGACGAAGGTTTAGTTAAATTTGGTACTAACGTTGTTAATAACATTTTCAAACCTTCGTGAAAAGCTCTCCGCCCCACAATGAACTGACTTTCTTAAAGAATGTTAGCGAGTATATTACAAGCCAGCCTACTTTTGTTTACACTGTAACAAATTTAAAGTTTAAAAGTTTCGAGCAAGAGTGACTTTATTGCATAAAAGAATGTCACCTGATCTCACGACGTACCGTTACAAATTCATATTTTCTTCATAATATTCAGTCTTTCAAGTGTAACGTTCATTTGTAATTCAATGAAATATGAATGGGAAGATTCAGTGAAAAAGTGACGTCGTATTTTTTATTTCTGAGCTTAAAAGCTGAAATGCAATCAACAATGCATATTACATGATAACTGTTCTTGCAATTTTTAGACTTTCGTTCCGGCTCGACTTTCAGAGATTAAATTTGCTGCAGAATTTGATTCCGGAAATAGATGATGACTGTATTATGTAAAATTCATTTGTGAATTCCGAAGTGTTAATTAGGGGTCAGATGAGTACTCTTTGCACTTTATGTGAGGTGTTTTGTAAACAAAGATGAACGAAACTATTAACTATAGTTTTATGATAACTTAAACTTTAAATTTTGGCGATATTAAAATATAATCGTAAACGAATACATTTTTTTTTGCAAAGTTTCAGAACATTCAGTTTTGCAATTTCAAAGTTAAACTGTAAAATGTTGTTATAAAGTTTTCAACGCGGATTGATAAACTATAAGTGGAGGAGTATGTTATTTTATAAAATTTAAATAACATTTACTATTGTAAAAGTAAACAAAATTCGCAAAATCAAGTTTTATAATTTTTCGAAAAAGGTGGATATATATTGTACTTCAGGGGTCGAAATAATCTCAGACCAACTTTTTATTCTTGTTTCTGTCAGGCAGGGTACAAAATTTCCTTTTTACTGTTACCATTTCGAAATAGAATTATTTTATTTTAAATAATAGAAAGTATTTTATTACTTATTCACCCTATTTTAAACACAAACAAGTTGCAACTATTACACTAATATTAATTTTACTATTTATTATGCTTTACGAGAGTTTGCATTTCTCGCTTATCTGACTTGTGTGGTACAAACTTGTGAACCAATGGAGTCAACAATGTTTTGTCAGTTATACTATCACCCTTATTTGTAAAGTAACTGATTACCAGTCCCAACATCACTGTAACAAGGGCACCAAGAAGAGTGTGGTAAAAGTGCGAAATGCGAAATATGAAAGGCGGCAGTTCTCTACAAAAATAATAATAAAAAATTAAATGTAGCTAAATTCTTGTGAACCTACTCCTCTGTTCTTTTTTTTTCGGTAGCAAAATACGGCGAAGAAGTACTGGAATGCACAACAGAATTATTTATCTGCTGAAATTCAAATCCTGTTTGATTTGAAACGCTGCAATTTTCAACTGAGAGAGGTTTTGATGGGTAGGAAAACTTTTTCTCTAAATTGTAAAATTTTAAAGGCAGGCCGATACTTGCTGTGAAAATAAAACCACCAATAGCTCCATAAAACGCACCCTAAAAAATAAATATTGTCATAGTACGAACTTTAAACTGACATTTTACTTCAGAATTTGCTTTTGGAAATAGAACACCTAAAGTGAACATGCCCATGGATGGTCCTTGTGACATTGCTGCAACACTAGTAGCCAACGGAACAATGTCTCCCAAGTGCTGCATTATCAAAACCAAACCTATGATCGCAATGCCACAAAGTGCGGTAATCAATTTCAAAATAGTTGTCACAGTTTGTTCCTTAATGTTTTCATTTAAAAATTTATACAAGAAATCTTTGTAGATTACTCCAGATAGCCCATTTAAACTTGACGATATTGTACTGAAACGTATGATTGGTTATGAAAATGAACACTAAGAACTATTGGGTACTACCTCAATGAAGCACAAAATAAAGCCACTAGGAAACAACCCGAAACACCAGGGACGTGTGCAGCCACATCCATAATATAATAAGGTAGGATCTGTTCATGCCTTTGGATTTTTTTGCTTATAAAAGGATCACATTTTGAATATTGTGCATACATGAGAAGACCAATGAAGACAACGAAAGTATATACGATGCTTAGGCAAACAGCGACATAAATCACGGACCTGCAGTACCACTTTCAACTAACTATAGTCGCCACAACGATAACTACTTACCACACACTTTCACGAAACGTTGGTAGAGCCAAAAATTTCTGTAATCCAGATTGAGTAAGACTGATGTAGTTAGTAAAGTGGGCCGTATATCCAAAGAAATAAGTCCAAAAACTGTCTCGTTTTGTTGGATTCGGATCAAAACTGGAACAAAATAAAATACATTGAAAACATTTTCTCAATACTTACTCAAATATATTAAGTCTGTCGCCTTTTAAAGCTTCCTCCCATACTGATACGAAACCTCCACTTGAAATAGTACCAACAATAGATACCGTGAACAGTGCTACTATAATTACAGCATATTGGAAAAGATCCGTCCAAACCACTGTTTGTAGTCCTCCGATTGCTGTATAAAAGACACATATAGCACATGTCGTAGAAGATATTAAATGCACGTGAATTCCAGTAGCTACAGACTAAACTAGTCAATACTGAAATGCAAAGAAACGAAAACTTACAGGTTGAAAGTGCCAACGACGGCGTATAAGCAATCACAGCCAGAAAAATAAATTCACACAGCAGATATAAAGTCGAAGCTAACAATTTGGTCTTTTTATCGAATCTTTTTTCCAAGTACTCGTATGCACTTGCTAGTTGAAGGTTGAAAAATACAGGAAAGTAAATATAAACAGATAATATAACTAATAAGAACATGGAAATGCAACCAAGCCACTGGAACGCTCCATATTTGTAAACATCAGCAGGTACCACCATCATAGTTATAGCTGCAAAGTGTCTGCACGAAGATTTTTTTAATTAAGGTTTTAGTTTAACAGAATGGTGTTACCCCACGGCTACAGAAAGTGCAATCGGTAATGCATTCATCCTCTTATTTCCTAATAAGTATCCGTTTATAGTTTTTTGTTTTGTTCCTAAGCATCCATAGTAGAGTCCAGCTGAGGTACTAACAGCAAATATGATACTAAAGATTGTGTAATCGTACCATTCGAGAGTTAGTTTCGTACTATTTTGCAGGGTCGTTAAGTTATTCATTGTGTTTCTTGTTGGTCTAAAATAATGCAGATACATAAATATAAGAAGACTTCAGTACAGTTTATTTATGACCTATTCGAGAGATTATTGATTATCCCTCAACAAATGAAACAAGTATGAGTACCACTATAAAAGTTGTTTAACTGAACTGAAAAGTAAAAAGCACCATACAAGTGGTTTCTAGAAGCTCTAATGACGCTTTTTGGAGAATGTCAGTGTACACGGTGGTAAATGCAATTAAATACATTTATTTTGATAATATGTGGTGTATTAAAAAGATAACTTTATCGCGTTTAAAAGTTTTCTAAGTTGGTATTATGAGAAACTAAAAGATAACGATACACTTAAAACAATAAATTACAACTACGTCAAATTTAACGCAAAGTTGTCATACCATTCTTACCTAATAATTTAATATCGAAAGATAAGTGCATTGGTAAACTCGTCAAAGTTCCTCTAGATGTGGAGTAGAAAAAAAAATAATAAAGCGACATTACTCTGATGATAACATGAATTTCTCATAACGAAAATTATCTACTTTTGTTCAGACAGAATGAATTCAGTAAATCCTCTTCTTGTAACAATCATAAAAATTGGTTCCATATATTGTTTTTTCTTATGATGATCCTTATACCTCAAATATAGCCCTTATAAATAACATAAAAGTACCGGTGCAACGATTATAAACCACTAAAACCAAATACGTACCGGAAACTGTGTCTCAAACAGTAACAACCTGACAGAATCAAAGATCTAGGACTGAAGGTAGTGCAGTAGTAACACTATAGCAATAGGTTTACTGCAACGTAGTGGGCTATTTTTATAACAATATATTGAAACGTCATAAAATAGTGATAGGGTCTCTATACATGGTGCACTGAAAAAGTTATTTGTACAACTGGTTTTTAAAGTGATACTTTTTCCACAATTGCAAACGAGTGAAAGCAAAGAGTTTCAAAACGAGTTGTACATGTAATTTTTTGCATGGTGATCCTTGCAAGCCGAAAGTAAAAAGAATCCGTTATTAACATTTCGCGATTTTGCTGTCACTTCAAAAATTGTTGCTATAATTTATAGAAAAAAAAATTGAAAAAAGTACAAATAGTGAACGAAAGTGGTACTTTCCATACGGTACGGTAATTTGATCACTATGCAAAAACATTAATTTAACATTTAATTTGGTAGTGTAAGGAACTAAGTGATAACGTTACATTTAAAACAGTGTCTGTCATTACATTCCAGTAGAGAATGTATCGGTGAACTAACTAATTGATGATTACAAAACAACTAATACTTTGCGTTTAATCATTTACATGATATTTCCAATATACATACCAAATTTGACAACAGTCGGTCCAGCAGTTTCGGAGATTAACTGTCTAATAAAAATGGATGCAGATACCACACACACACACACAGAGAGAGAGAGAGAGAGAAACAAACAGACGGAAACGGAAGACTACTTTTTCGTATTGTAGGGGCCATGAAACGTTGAGAAAATATAAAAGTGGCCATTCGTCCGATGGACTCGATTAGTGCAAATTTAAGTTATTGTTTGGCATCAGCATATTCGAATTTAAGTTCTATTTTTAACTCATAATTGACGGGTATAGGTACGTTTAGAACTTAGAAGCTAAGTACGAACGACCTATTCATCTTTGGGAAGCCACTTTGACGCGATTTGTGAAAGATAAGTCACACATGTGATAATAAAAGAAATCTGAACAAGTTTTGCAACAGTTCCAAGTATTGTTTTGTTTTTCAGATCACTGCTTTCAAATCGTTTCATATAGTTCCATTTTCTTGATTTGCAAGTTTAGTTAGCACGCAGGGGTGAAATGAGACTATAGTCAACGTTTACATCAGTAAAAACAGTTGAGAGTGCCTACATTATTTAAGTTCCTCTCTTAAATATGAAAAAGTCATCGATGATTTTGCCCCATTAAAAACAAGGAAAATTAAACTGTAAATTTTTTAAAAGTGTTACAGTTTTTGTTAATTACTATTAAGTATCTCTACTTACGAATTTATATGTTATATGTATATATTGTAATTGAGGACGTCCGTCAACTCTCTACTTTTATGTTTTCTCGACATTTCATGACCCCTAGAGGATGAAGAAATAGGTTTCTAGTTTCTGTCTGTCTGTCTGCTGTCCCGCATTTTTATTAGACAGATAATCTCCGAAAGTACTGGAGCGATTATTGTCAAATTTTGTATTTAGATTAGGAATATTATGTAGATGGTAAAACGTTAAACAAGATTTGGCTAATCATCCCCACCAATAATATGATGACGTCACTTCAAAATTGTGCATAGTAAATGGGTTTCAAATTGTATAAAATATCATCAAGTTTTCACCCGAAACGCGCAGATTTTTGGGAAAAAAAATCAAAATCATAAAACAACATTTTGCAATTTAATTTTGAATCTGCAAAACCGAATGCTTTGAAATCTTGGAGATGTTTTAAAGTTATAATAAGCATAATACATTTTTAATCAAAATACATTTGCTTATCCCCTCCAAAAAATTTTGTCGAATAAATTTTAGCCTAATAAATGTGCAAAATATGATGAGTTTTTACTTGTGATTTATCACTGCATTCATATTTTATAGATTTGCTTAAACAGGAGGCCCAAAAAAATTAATGAATGAGTCAAATTATTTTATTGCTTAATAATAATAATAATAGTCTTTAATGGTCCAACAGTAACCCATTTACCGGACAATAATTGTACTATAAGAATATTAAGTAAAAGTTTTTAACATGCTTTGGTATGTCTAACAATTAAAACTAGCTATATGATATGAAATAGAAGGTAACAGTAATTACTTACAGGCTAAGCGATAAATATTTTGATGTCAATAAAAATAACTGATGACAAAACAAAATGATTACTAATACTATAATGGTATATAATTGGGGTATAAACATGTCAGCATATAATTTATTCGCGAGATTGCACATAGTATAAAATTAGTAAAGTATTAAATCAGGAACGGCTCACTCCACTTTCCCAGAAATTTTTGGAAATACAATACTGTTATTTTTAGTAATATACTACACCAATTCAAGTTGACATACGTGTCCGTGGAAAAATGAAGAGATCATCACAAAATTGTGTAAAGAAAAAACTCAACTCGAAAATGCTGGATATGTTTCATTGTACTTTAGTAATAATAATAAACTTTATTACGAGGTACCCCATTACATCTAAATGACAAATATTAAATTAAACATCTTACTTAAAGTAATAAAATAAAAAAGAACAAAGAACAAAATAAAAATACTAACAAAAAAAAGAAAAATAAAAAAAGGAACGAAAGAAGGAAATATAATAAAGCATAATATGATGAAGAAAAGAAATTAATAATTACGCTGTGCATAAAAACGCTTGTACTACTACAATAACTCTTTATGTTTGGATGTCGCAAAGCATTTATGTGACACCCCAAAAATTTCTATAAATCCGCTATTGACATTAACAACTCGGGACATTCTCGCCAATGGTGAAAAAATCCATAATTGATCCTGTGAAGGTTGACACTGAAAATTGGGTTGCTTCGTAGTATTCTTTTACGATAATTGATAGAAAACAAACTCAATAACTTGGAGTAGTCGATATTACCATTAAAAACCTTGTATATAAAAACCCATTCTGCTTTTGTTCTACGTATTTCAAGGGAATCCAGGCCTAAAATATTTCTAATTAGCTGGTAAGTATAGTCTTTATGGTGAAAACCAATTTTCCAAGCACAGTGATGTAAGAATTTATTTTGAACTCTTTCAATCATCCTTATATAAGTAATATACTGTGGGGACCATACTATGCCAGAGTATGTCCAGGGTACAACGTACTAAAGAGCAATATACTTTTTTATATGTATGAACAGAAAATGCAAGAATATCAAAATACCTTTGTAACATAATCCAATCATCTAAATTCTTAACCGCTTTGTACACCTTTAAATCATCCACGAAAAGAAATAATTCTGAAAATGTAATGGCATCAAAAAATATCATTGATAAATAATAAGAATAAAAGTGGACTACAGTAAATAACAAACTATAAACGGATCGGAGATAGAATTCCCTGTTTTGGCGAACTGTTTTTTTTTATTTAAATGAAAATTAAAGAGTGGGGGATAATATCCTTTAAACACTCAACTACAAACATAAAAATTAAATGAAAGTGACGGAATTTATTTCTTTTTTAAAGATGTTCACAGTGGGTGCTGCAACGGTGGTAGGATCTAGAGAGTTCCATTCCGAGAAAATCCTGTTCGACAGGAAAAACTGACGACATTTCGAAGCGTACGTTTGGTGATTTAGCCCCCAAGGGTGCCCTCGCAGCCTGCTATCGCTTTGAAGCCTGTAAATATATGAGAGATCCACGTTGAACTTGGATCTAAGAATTTTATACGTGGTTATGAGATCAACTTTTCTTAGCCTCGTAGAAATTGGTTCGAGGTTCATTATTGTGAGACGTTCTGCGTATGATGGTCTACGAATTCCATAGCCAAGCCGAGTGGCTCTTCGTTGCGTTTGTTCTAAGAGATTGGCATCTCGACGAAGTATTGGATACCACACTGCACTGGCGTACTCCAAGTACGAAACCTCCACTTGAAATAGTACTAACAATAGTTATCGTGAGCAGTGCTACTATAATTACAGCATATTGGAAAAGATCCGTCTAAACCACTGTTTGTAGTCCTCCGATTGCTGTATAAAAGACACATATAGCACATGTTGTAGAAGATATTAAATGTACGTGAATTCCAGTAGCTACAGACTAAACTAGTCAATACTGAGATACAAAGAAACGAAAACTTACAGGTTGAAAGTGCCAACGACGGTGTATAAGCAATCACAGCGAGAAAAATAAATTTACACAGCAGATATAAAGTCGAAGCTAACAATTTGATCTTTTTATCGAATCTTCTTTCCAAGTACTCGTATGCACTTGTTAGTTGAAGGTTGAAAAATACGGGAAAGTAAATATAAACAGATAATATAACCAATACGAACATGGAAATGCAACCAAGCCACTGGAACGCTCCATATTTGTACACATCAGCAGGTACCGCCATTATAGTTAGAACTGCAAAGTGTCTACACGAAGATTTTTTTAATTAAGGTTTTAGTTTAACAGAATGTTACCCCACGGCTACAGAAACTGCAATCGTAATGCATTCATCCTCTTATTTCCTAATAAGTATCCGTTTATAGTTTTTTGTTTCTTTCCTAAGCATCCATAGTAGAGCCCAGCTGAGGTACTAACAGCAAATATGATACTAAAAATTGTGTAATCGTACCATTCGAGAGTTAGTTTCGTACTATTTTGCAGGGTCGTTAAGTTATTCATGGTGTTTTTTGTTGGTCTAAAATAATGCAGATACATAAATATAAGAAGACTTCAGTACAGTTTATTTATGACCTATTCGAGAGATTATTGATTATCCCTCAACAAATGAAACAAGTATGAGTACCACTATAAAAGCTGTTTAGCTGAACTGAAAAGTGAAAAGCACCATACAACTAGTTTCTAGAAGCTCTAATGGCGCTTTCTGGGAGAATGTCAATGTACACAGTGGTATAAATGCAATTAAATACATTTATTCTGATAATATGTGGTGTATTAAAAAGATAACTTTATCGCGTTTAAAAGTTTTCTGAGTTGGTATTATGAGAAACTAAAAGATAACGATACATTTAAAACAATAAATTACAATTACGTCAAATTTAACGCAAAGTTGTCATACTATTCTTACCTAATAATTTAATAGCGAAAGATAAGTGCATTGGTAAACTCGTCAAAGTTCCTCTAGATCTGGAGTAGAAAAAAATTATTAATAAAACTACATTACCCTGATAATAATACGAGTTTCTCATAACAAAAATTATCTACTTTTGTTTAGATAGAATGAATTCACTAAATCCTCTTGATGAAAAAAATTGGTTCCATATATTGTTTTTTCTTATGATGATTCCTATACCTACGTTACAAGTATAGCCCCTATAAATAAAATAAAAGTACCGTTGCAACGATTATAAACCACTAAAACCAAATTTAATACGTACCGGAAACTGTGTCTCCAATGGTAACAACCTAACAGAATCAAAAATCTAGGAGTGAAGGTAGTGCAGTAGTAACACTATATTAATAGGTTTACTGCAACGTAGCGGGCTATTTTTGTGTTCTATTTGTAACAATAATATATTGAAACGTCATAAAATAGTGATAGGGTCATTAAATCATTCCGATAAATCGTACAAAATACATGGTGCACTGAAAGAGTTATTTTTGTACGACCATTGCTTTTTCGATCATTTACCGTATAGGTTTCCATAGCAGTAAGTTCAGTTTACGGGTTGCTACGACTAACGACTAAGAGGCGAACGGTAAGTAAATTACTTACCGTTCAGCTGAACGGTAAGTAATCATGCATTCGAGATTTTTTTTATTTTAAATTCCATGCGTGTTCGACTTCGACATTTTCGCTTTCAGAATCACTCATAATTGATATTTTAAGCAAATAAATCACTCACTAATAGTTGCGGAAAGAAAAAAATTAACTCGAAATCAAGCCAGATCAAATCTAAATCGACAGCGGTCAAAATGGAAACTGATTTTTAAAATTGTTGTTTATATTAATCGAAACCATAGTAACAAATTTTAAATTAAAAAACGACCTTGTTGATGCTTGGTATAAATTCTTTCAATTTATGAATTTGATAAAAAGACGCAAATCTTTTGATGGTCGTACAAAAAATAGTATAAGCACCACGAACGTTAAGGGGGTTTACTGGTCGAAGGCAAAAGTTTGGAGACGGAGTCTGAGACCAGTAAACATCCCTTACCGTTCTTAATACTTAATATACTATTGTGTAACAGGTTTTAAAAGTGATGCCTTTTTCACAAATTTGCAAACAAGTGAAAAAAGAGACTTTCAAAACGAGTTGTACATGTAATTTTTCTGCATGGTGATCCTTGCAAGCCGAAAGTAAAAAGAATCTGTTGTTAACATTTCGCGATTTTGCTGTTACTTAAAAATTGTTGTTATCATTTATAGAAAAAAAAAAAAAAACTGGTAGGCAATTAAGACTAAACTAGGGCGACGTCTTTGTAAACATCATTTCATAAAATCTTAAAAATAATAAAAATATTCAAAAAAGTAAAAATAGTGAAAAAAAGTGGTATTTTCCATACGGTACGGTAATTTGATCATTATGCAAAAACATTAATTTAACATTTAATTTGGTATTCTAAGGAACCAAATAATAACGTTACATTTAAAACAGTGTCTATCATTACGTTCCAGTAGAGAATGTATCGCTGAATTAACTAATGGAGGATTACAAAACAACTAATATTTTGCTCATTTTGCACAATTGTTAATTTCAGCTGTTTTATACAATCCATAGTGTATCAGATGGAATCGTTTTTTACAAACAAATCATTCATTAAATCAAATAAACATAGAATTCTTTGAAATGACGTTACCAAATTGTTGGTGGTGATGATTAGAAAAATTTTGGTTAGCGTTTAATCATATACATGATATTTCCAATATACATACAAAATTTGACAACAGTCCGTCCAGTAGTTTCGGAGATCAACTGTCTAATCAAAATGGATGCAGACACCAGACACACACACACAGAGAGAAAGACAAACAAACAGACGGAAACGGGAGACTACTTTTTCGTACTGTAGGGGTCATGAAACGTCGAGAAAATATAAAAGTGGTCATTCATCCGATGGACTCCATTAGTTCAAATTTAAGTTATTGTTTGGCATCAGCATAGTCGAATTTAAGTTCTATTTTTAACTCATAATTGACGGGTATAGGTACGTTTAGCGCTTAGAAGCTAAGTACGAATAAGGACCTATTCATCTTTGGGAAGCCATTTTGACTCGATTTGTGAAAGATAAGTCACACATGGGATAATAAAAAAATCTGAACAAGTTTTGCAACAGTTCCAAGTTTTGTTTTGTTTTTCAGATCACTGCTTTCAAATCGTTTCATACCGTTCCGTTTTCTCGATTTGCAAGTTTAGTTAGCATGCAGGGTCGAAATGAGACTATAGTCAACGTTTAAATCAGTAAAAACAGTTTGGAGTGCCTACATTATTTAAGTTCCTCTCTTAAATATGAAAAAGTCATCGATGATTTTGCCCCATTAAAAACAAGGAAAATTAAATTGTAAAATTTTTAAAAGTAATATAGTTTCTGTTAATTACTGTTAAGTACCTCTACTTACGAATTTATATGTTATATGTATACAAGGTGATTGCCAAATACATGCAAAAAAAGTGGGGAATAGCTCACAATATGATTATGTTACTGGGTAAAATTCACGATCCTAAGTGGTAGCAGTATCTAGAAAAAATAATTTGAAATTAAATGTAAATTGTCGTACATGCCACTGGTAATGTTTCGTGACCTACATAATGACTACAATGAATGGAATCAAGCCACTCGGAATCAGAACCAAAAAAGTGACTATATCAGGCACTTTTTTAATCGCAACGTGAAAAACACGAAAAGGGCCAGTCAGCATCGAGCGGTCGGTGAAATTGGTTTATGGTGTAGTTTTCCCATGCAGAGTGTGTCGATATGGTAATTGGTGTGCGCGAACATTTGCATCAGTGGTACAGCATCTCCGAGATCATGGTACCTGCAACCTCAAACTCACAATCGGGGCCGTGATAGGACAGAAAGAAGAAGAAAGTTGGATTTTCACAGCTTCTAGTGCATCCTAGATTACAACAGCACGGCCACATCCATACCATGTTGACAAAGTGCAGGGTTTGGAGCCCCCTGGTTGTTTACGTTGTGTAACTCACTTTTTGTCCGATGAAACTCCACATACTCATCAACAAGTGCGATTTCAAGACACGGTTTTCGATAAATGTGTATCGGTTGGATGAAACAGTTAGTTTGTGGAAATCAACAGCATCCAGAAATTATCGAAGAGCTTCAACAACAAGTGAAAGTGGCAGCCGCTACTCCGGTGTTTTTTTACCTATCAACAAATATCTTGCGACGCTCTGACGCCTGTATGGCTAGTCAAGGACAACATTTTCAACATTTCTTGTAAAAAGGTATTAGCATTCTAAGTTGCTCTTATTTTTGTTCCAATAAACAATGTAAAATCGTTGTGGCAAGGACCAAACATCCGTCAGAATCAAAAGTTGATCATCATGAAGCATTACCAAAAAATTTTCGCACTGACCTTTAACGTTGAACGAATAAATGAATGAACGAATGATAAGCAGCAAAAAGTCGGTTTTACTTTTAATTGAAACTGAAAGTGTTTAGGTCGTTTTTATTCAAACGTTTTTCCAACTCTGTTTACAAGGTGGCTCAGTGCCTTCGTATCGAGGGTGGTTCATGGGGGTTTTGCCCTATTCGATTTTTAATTTATTTTTTTTTTATATTTCGACTCTACTAGGGTGGGGGATGCCGTGGTTAAAATTATTGCATGTATTTCGCAGTCACCCTGTATATTGTAATTGAGTACGTTCATCGACTCTCTACTTTTATGTTTTCTCGACTTTTCATGACCCCTAGAGGATGAAGAAATAGGTCTCTATCTCTAGTTTCCGTCTGTCTGTCTGCTGTCTCGGATTTTTATTAGACAGATAATCTCCGAAAGTACTGGGTCGACTGTTCTCAAATTTTGTATTTAGATTAGGAATATCATGTAGATGGTAAAACGTTAACCAAGATTTGTCTAATCATCCCCACGATGATGACGTCAGTTCAAAATTGTGCATAGTAAATGAGTTTCAAATTGTATAAAATATCATAATCCTACACATGTAATTTATGACTCCGTGTTTAGTTTTCACCCGAAACGTGCAGATTTTTGGGAAAAATTCAAAATTTTAAAACAACATTTTGCAATTTAATTTTGAATCTGCAAAACCGAATGCATTGAAATCTTGGAGATGTTTTAAAGTTATGATAAGGATAATACATTTTTAATCAAAATTCATTTGCTTATCTTTCCAAAAAATTTTGTCGAATAAATTTTAGCCTAAATGTGTAAAATATGAGTTTTTACTTGCATTCATATTTTATAGATTTGCTTAAAGAAGAGGATCAAAAAAATTAATGAATGAGTCAAATTATTTTATTGATTAATAATAATGATAATAATAATAGTATTTAATGGTCCAACAGTAACCCATTTATAGGACAATAATTGTACTATAAGAATATTAAGTAAAAGTTTTTAACATGCTTTGGTATATCTAACAATTAAAACTAGCTATACATATGATATGAAATAGAAGGTAACAGTAATTACTTACAGGCTAAGCGATAAACATTTTGATGTCAATAAAAATAACTGAAGAAAAAACAAAATGATTACTAATACTATAATGGTATATAATTGTAGCATAAAAATGTCATCATATAATTTATTCTCGAGATTGCACATAGTATAAAAATAGTAGGGTATTAAATCAGGAATAGCTCACTTCACTTTTCCAGAAAATTTTGGAAATACAATATTGTTATTTTTAGTAATACACTGCACCAATTCGAGTTGACGTACATGTCCGTGGAAAAATGATGAGATCAGCACAAAATTGTGTAAAGAAAAAACTCAATTCAAAAATGCTGGATATGTTTCATTGTACTTTAGTAATAATAATAATAATAAACTTTATTACGAGGAACTCTATTACATCTAAATGACAAATATTAAATTAAACATCCTACCTAAAGTAATCAAATAAAGAAAGAACAAAGAACAAAAAAAATAATAACAAAAAAAAAGGAACGAAGAAAGGAAATATAATAAAGCCGAATATAATAAAGAATAGAAATTAATAATACGCTGTGCATAAAAACTCTCGTACTACTACAGTGACTCTTTATGTATGGATGTCGTAAAGCATCTATGTGATACCCCAAAAATTTCTATAAATCCGCTATGAACATTAACAACTCGGAATATTCTCGCCAATGGTGAGAAAAATCCATAATTGGTTCTGTAAAGCTTGACATTGAAAATTGGGTTGCTTCGTAATATTCTTTTACGATAATTGATAGAAAACAAACTCAATAACTCGGAGTAGTCGATAATACCATTAAAAACCTTGTATATAAAAACCAATTCTGCTTTTATTCTACGTATTTCAAGGGAATCCAGGCCTAAAATATTTATAATTAGCTGGTAAGAATAGTCTTTATGGTTAAAATCAATTTTCCAAGCACAGTGACGTAAGAATTTATTTTGAAGCCTTTCAATCACCCTTATATATATATATATAAGTAATATACTGTGGTGACTATACCATGCTAGCATATTCCAATGTAGAACGTACTAAAGAGCAATATACTTTTTTGTATGTATGAACAGAAAATTAATTTAAAACGCAACCTTCGTAGTTATTTATTAACAATCATTTGTAAATGAGGGACAAAACTAAGCTTTGAATAAAATATGACGCCTAAGTCACGTATTTCCGAGACTGATGCTATATTTACATTATTATCTATATTATAAGTACCTAAAGTCAAGAAATACATTCAATTTACCCAAAGAAACTTTGTAACATTTATCATAAAATTAATATCCATATCATTAGAAAAACACCACTCAAACATATCAAAATCCCTTTGTAACATCATGCAATCATCTAAATTCTTAATCTCTTTGTACACCTTTAAATCATCCACGAAAAGAAGTAATTCTGAAAATTTAACGGCATCGAAGATATCATTGATAAATAAAAAGAATAAAAGTGGACCACAGTGCGAGCCTTGCGGCACACCTGAACAAACTATAATCGGACCAGAGATAGAATTCCCTATTTTGACGAACTGTTTCCTATCACTAACAAAGCATTTAATCCATCTAAGAAACCTGGCACCAAAATTCATCATCTTTAATTTATCTAACAAAATATTATGATTAACTCTGTCGAATGCTTTGGAGAAATCTTTATAGATGGAGTCAACCTGAAATCCATTTTTCAAAGCATTGGCAATGTAGTCTTGATATAATATTAAATTGGTTGTAATGGATCGTCCAAAATCCGTGTTGTCGACTATGAATAATATGTTTGCACGATAATTTTAAGTTTATTAAAAAACTTTCTTTTCAGATGTGCGGAACCACATCAGACGAAAGAGATAAAAGATGTACTGGTTTAGAAATACTAAATATACAAGAAACCAAAAATGTTGTTGAAATTCCATCAGGTCCTACATTACTAGTAGGTTTTAAACTAATCGCATCGAATATTTCACTTAACGAAACCATTAAAGTGTGTTGAGCAGTTAACTTGTATATTAGAATAATCCACATTAATTTGCGAATCCCTATATAAACTGATGTTTCATTGTTATATTTCATAGTATTTGGAAGATCGTTCCTGTTATTTTCCTCTTTCGAGAATTTCTAAAAAAAGTAACAGTTAATTGTTTTCAGTGTCTATTTTTGAGATATATAAATTGTAACATTTTTTCGTTTTTAATTTGCATAACATCCTGATTCTAAAGAATTCGTCATATATCACTCATCTTATAAAGTTTATGCAGTCTTTGTTTTAGAATAGATAAGATTTTTCAGTTCACTAGAAAACCATTTGGGAAGACATGATGTTTTAAAGTATTTGAGAGCCACCCACCTAATACCATAGAATTTGTTAAGGAATACATTTAGGTTACAGTCGGAAAACATTCTTCCCAATTAATTTGTAAAAGAAAAGAGTTTATGGCATTATAGTCAGCGTTAGGGAAATCGGAATACGCTTCATTTACTTTTGGGTGCGAGGGAAGGTCTGTCGAAACAACTTTCGACCAATTTTTTTTTAATTTTGATTCCTGTGTTATTTTGACAATTTAAAATCAGTAAACCCATTTAATTTTAAGCTATAAGTAAATAGATATCTCACAAATATGGAAGCCCGAATTTAGGCATCTGCTTCAGATGAAAACATTTGCAGGGCCGGCTCGGACTAAATGGCTAAATTAAAACGGGGAGAAGTGTGAGAAGCTATGACGCCTCGTTTGTCTGAGACCTACGCCTAAAGTTGATTAAAGTTTAACTGAATGACTGAATTATTATTTTTTGTTGATTTAATGCTTGAATGTTTATTTAATGTTATGATAAATATTATATTATATTAGATTGTCCTGTTTCATATTTTTTCTGTTGGACCTTCAAGACTTATTACTATTATTATTATTAGTATAAGAACTTGGCAGGTACGAGCTGTTTTAAATTGTTTCTAAATGAATTTTCTTATGTTGTTGGCAGAAAGGTGTCTGTTTTTAGAAATTATTCTGGAAATGAAGTAGATGCGAAACGTTTGTAGTTTACTTAAATGAGTTAAGCGCTGTGAATGACTAATATTTCTTAACGCGTTCGTTTAAAATGTTAAACAAGTATAAATTAGCATTTCTTCAGACAAATGCAATTTTAAAAACTCTTGGCCGTCTCCGTCCAACGTTAGTAAGTAATTTATAGTCTGAACTCGAATGAAGTTTCGCACTAAACAAAATTTAATAAAAATTAATGAATCCATAACAATTACTCGTACATGATACAAGCGTGCACGCTCCGATCCGTTTTTAAGGCCATAAAAACCACGTGCTGCCTCTCTACCAAATACCGTACACAAAAATGCATCCGCACCCTCGAACACACCGAATCCGGAAACACGTGATGCTGCGTGGACCGCCACCGATTTGGTCCAGTACCGAATTTTCCCGTCAGACCGCGCTGCTGCGCCCGGAAAATCCGTGCTGCATCTCTTCGCAAGTTCAGTTTTCGGCAAGTGACGAGAAACGCTGCCGCGTCTCCAGTTTTCCCGAGACACGCAAATCGACGCAAATGACACAGATTTCGGTCCAGATTTGAGGAAAATTTTCCGATCGACAAATGAACGCAGAAAGTTCAGTGGCGGAAAATCCCTCGCTCTGAGAAAGGGTAAAATTTATTACGCGTTGAGAGGAAAAAGGCCACTTTCGTAAGTTTATGGCCATCGCAATCTGTCTTCGCGACCGCAAAATTTTACTCTGAATTTTTTGCGTAATTGGAAATAGCTTGATTGATTGCTTGCCACTGGCGTTGTTGTACCAATAATAGATTTTTTAATATCCATAATAGGTCTGGTATCTGAAAGTGGCATCCGATCCTTGCCAGTTCGCAAATCAATTAATGCGTCCGCGGAAACTGTTTTGGCCATAATTTTTTCGTTGCGGCGGTATTTTCTATTCATGTTGTAATTCCAATTTGCACAATGGTACTCCAGAGCCAATGGGTATCGGCAGCGAACGAACCGTTGACATTGCGTTGGAGTAATTAACTTTTATACACATACTGTTATTTCTGTGGTCGTAATTTCACTAATGAAAGAAAATTAATTTCAGTTCCATCATCGAATTAAAAAATCAGTGGCGTTCGGACGCGGTAATGTGGTGTGTTTTTCCTAAATTTTGGTAAAGAAACTGTGTATCGTCTGATAAACTTTCCGATAAAGAACCTTCGCAATGGCATATTTCATAACAAGGAGTATCCTGCTTTTCGTTACGCTCTTCGCGGACATCAGCATTTTCGGTAAGTCGTTACTTCCTCACAGCCGATCTTATTTATTTTCGTTTGTAAAGCGTGTCTGATACCAGAATAATAATTCACCATGTTAATACGTGCTCGGAGGAGATAATAGTTGGCATTAATCAAAACCGCTCAGTTACGGTAAAATGTCCATTTTGCGCCGTACGATCAACGAAATTTGAGACTGGAGTTAGGGATGCCATAGAGAGTTGTCCAAGCTTAATTAAATGCTCGCGTAACCAAATTAGTAGCGTTTAGAAGTGACGTTTATTAAGCAAGTTTAGATGTAAATTCGTATTTTTTTCTTCTTGCTGCGGCATAATAATGTCGGGACGTTTTGCTAAACGACTCTATTCAAACCAAAACGCGACACAATTTCGACTTATTATAATAAAAGGTAAGTATAATAAGTATTCATTTAATTTCAAAAGATATTTTGCCGTTTGCTTCTTGGAGGGCGTTTGGTAAAAAACGTTTGGGACTGAAAAAGGGTCTCGTGAATGCAAATTATATTCTATCGAATGATTGCCATCAAAAATTGCTTTGAATAAAAATGCTTCAAATAGAAGTTAAAACCCGGAGCGAAAAAATAAGAAAAAATTACTCCGTTTGAGTTCAAAGGAAAAGAAAGTTGTATATTACGAAAATATTTTCAACGTATCCGAAGAAATCATTTTCTAAGTTGATTTTTCAATTATTATCGATTTCTGTGGGTATTATTTGCAATTATATCCGCTTTGCCCTTTGATCTCCACGATATTTAGAACTTTTGCTTTTTGATTTCGAGGATCAAAGCATTTTTTCCGACGGATGATTTTTCAACGCGCGTTCGCTGTGATTTACGAAATTAGCTTGATTGATAAAATCGTAAAAGTTAGTAGTCCGACAAACCCATATCTATTATCACGAACATATAGCTACATGGGAAACAGACCCTGGGTTCTCATATAATTCCAAGCTTCATAAATTTCTCCCATAAACAGAGGGAGTAATAATAGGCTATGCCTGGACATAGTTGTAAAAGATTTACGAACATTTTTAATACTGTAGACGTACTTTACATTCAAATAAAACCGACGTTTTATGGAAACACTGCGTTTTTTATTATAAGTGTAAAATATATTGAATTATGTATAGTCGGGATATGCATATATTCACCACACAAATTTTATTGCCATATACAACTCTGCCAAAAGTCGCGTCGCGTTTAAGCCACTCCGGATACCCTTAGATATAGTTTTTATTTCATTATTGACGCAACCCGAGGTTACAAACCGTCAATCCACGACATTATTGAAAATACAACAGAAATCTTTTTTATATCCACCGCAATAAACTTTCGCCAGGAAAATAACAGTCAAATAAAAAAAAAAGAAATTTAGACATAAAAAATAGCAAGGAGTAAGTTTCGATAATAAAAAATATAAAACAGTTTTTTTCCAAAAAATATAAAACAAGTTCACATAAATGAACGGTTTTATACGAAATAAATCTGCGAAGAAAGCTGCAGTAAAAAGCTTACGTTGGGAAGATACAATATTTCGTAAAATATAAGAGAGTTTTCCCTGTAAAAAATTAGACCGCGTTGTAGCCTTCGAGCGGCGAAACTTTCAGAAAACAAGCTTGCAAAAAATATTTTTCCTAAAAATTTCTACACCATCCAGGAACAACCTTCAACTTATCGGAAAAATATAATGAAATAAAAATCTCCCTGAAACAAGATTAGACCAGCTTCAAGTTATTATTAATTAAATAATTAGTCTAGGGCTTTATTTATTAGATTATGCTATCGATTAAGCCCACCCTTGTCTTCTTTGTCTCGCTAATTAAACGTTGAGGGCCTAATTATAATGATCAGATAGTATAGGCGAGTTGATTTAGCAATTATGTCGTTGATGAAATTGTTTTGATGAGAAAAAATGTGTTGATGCTTCATGAAAGAAAAGACACTTTGAGGATGTGCCTGGGAGAATTTTATTTACATAACATCGAGTGGGAAACCGAATATTCGAATTTCTCTTGAGAGCGCGAATATCTCTTGCAAACTGAAAAAAGTTTCAGTGTAAATTATTCAAACAGTTAAAATCGCGGAATTTATATCAACCACGTCTTTAAATTCTTCAATAATTCATAAGAATGCCGCGTAAACACCAAAAGAAAGTTATTGTTATAACATATTTGTGCTGAATTACAAAGAGGTTCTTGCTTTTTTTTTGCTTACGCTTGATGACATCGGAACCAGTTATCGCCTGTTTACAAAATTTGCCATATAACTAACATAACAATAGACTGTTATTTGCCACACACTGACAGAATCTTATACACATTTTGTTCACATAAGTTTATCCAACTTTTAAGAACTTTGCCTACTTACTTTAAATAAAATAGCAAAAGCGTCAATTTTTTCATAAAATTTAACACGTGTGAAATTTTTAGTTGAATACTCGTGTTTTTTAGTGTTTCTGTCTAGACTCAATATTGTTTTGAGTTTGCGTCCGGGCTGATTTAAAGTAAGAGGTGGATGATTTGCACCTAGGGAACCCTTTTTGTAAAAATGCGATAATTTGTCACCGTAATAACCAAATAAATCAAACCAAGAGAGAGCAGGCTCAATCTTTCGTCGTTTGATCCGCTGAATTCAATATCAGCGCATCTGTAATAAAAATGATGAAAATGAAAATTGAGTATGAGGAGGTAATGAAGTAGAATGTGATTGATTTTTTTCGAATTTGTTTTGTTACTTGGAATCGGGTTTCAGTGGTCGGAATATTTTGTTTGGGAATCTGTCGAATATTATTATGAAAACGTTTTGAATCGACAAAATGTTTTTATTGTGTGTTGAGTGATTCAATCGAAAATATTATTCATCGGGCGAGTAAAAAACAGAACGTTGCATGTGTCATTCGGGTAAAAGTTTAAATTTATTTACAGTCAATATATGTAATTTAACAAATAAATAAATTACGTTCAAATTAATGGGCTGTGTTTTGTGTGGATGTGCAAATAATGGAATATCCAGAATACGCCGCTTTATGTCAGAGTTGTGGTTGTTTTGATACATTGCTATTGAGAGTGTAACTACAGTTTATTTAACAAGTTTATCAACTATATCTCCGGAATTTTATTTTATAATATGATTTTATCTCATATTTGCGCCAAATTAAATGAAATGAAATGTACCACTCAAAAATCGCATTAAAACGACACCAATTTAACAATAAAATGAATATTATTTGAGCAAATTTCCAAGGATTAATTTCGAATAAAAACTGAAACTACACTAGCTAAATTACGAGAATGTACGTGAATATTTCAGAGATGAATTACGTTTAGTATGTACCTAGAATGTATTTCGCATTGAAATTTAGTGCAAAATTCTTCAAAATGTTGCATTAATATCAAAATATGCTAATACAGATAGCGCTAATAGTGTTATTATCATAGAGGTGTATTCGAATAAACTAATGTTGAAAAAACGTAGGGGAAGATCACCTAGTAGTTAAATAGGATCGATAAACATTTATTAATATATAAGTGATAGTAAATGGATGTCTGGAAAAACTTTTGACGAATCTATTTAAAAATAAAAAATATTTAAATTAAAAATGCGCCACAAACAAATCAACAATTATTAAAAACATGATTCAAAAAATGCCGGTTTCAAGATTGCTGCAAAAATATATCCTTCCGTGATGTATATTATTGAGTAAAATATACTAAAAATTTTCACATACAAATTTGTGAAGCTAATAGCTTTGGCAGATTTATTATGTTTTGTTGAAATTAAAATCTGGTGGGTATCATTGCATTTCGGAAATACAGTAATGAATAATGTATTAGATAATACCTGCAACAATTATTTTCTACTCGCATTACTTTAATCCATAAATCGCAAATGGTTTTACATTCCACACAGCCGTTAGATTTTTCGACTAACAAAATAGAAGTTTAATATGTAACACAACGCAAGAATACAAAGAACTCATGAGCGACAATATTTTGGCGCGTGAGAATTTTACAAACGAGGAAAAATTTTGCGTAGTCGAAGCTGTTTACTCTTTAGATGACATAAATCTGGGAAACGTGGTGACGAGCAAAAATTTTCATCCGATACAACTGACGCAGAAAACCACTTTCAGCATTGGAAGGATGCTTTGACGTAAACAAAATTGTGCTCGTCCTGTAAGGTCAAGAACATTTTAGAACCAAATGGAAAAAGGACATCATCAGAAAACAAGCGTTACTGTACACAAAACGTGGATTAACGTTAGTCTTTTGTATTAATGCCTCATAAATTCTTTTATTTGGGATTATCCTTTAACACGCCCTACGTAGGTTGTATTCTGCACGATCTGTGCTTGTTGTTTTCCCCTTAAAATTTTAATAACGTAGGTTTGCCTAATACTGTTATACAACGGAGCCCAGTAAATGACAACAGTGGACCTTTATCTGTCACCGTAACCACCTATCATTAAAATTTCACTGCGTTTTGTTTCAGTTAAATGGACTGTTGTTTTTAATAAAATAACGGGTAAATAATGGGTTTCTGGCAAAGGTGTGTACGAAATCCTCGTTTCAGTTTTTCATTAACATTTGAAATAAACGAATGAAAGATACCCCTGCGGTGTGAATTGCTACCAATTATCCCTGATGTGAATGAAACATTGTTATCTGAAGTTTCTCATATGGTAATGTGTTCAACCAAAAAAACATGCAGCTTGTATTTTGTAAATTGCATTTCGGCGTTGTTGATGTTTTAACTAGTTCTGTATAAGAGAAATAAAAAATAATTAAACCCAGTTGGTAAAAACATTTGAAATCTATCGAGTGGTGACGTAGTTCACCGATTGCAACAATATTTTGTTTTGGTCAAAGAATACTTCACTAAAACTCGACAATTTTAATGTTCGTTTTTTAATATATAGTTTTCAAAGCGCCTTCACTTATAATAATTTTATTTATTATTTTTTATTATTTGCGTTGAACAAATTATAATAATCAGT